CATTAGAAAAATAGAACCTTTAAAATAAAGAAAAAGATTAAAAATCATAAATAAGCATCATTACTTAGAGATCTAATCTGTGTGTTTGGTTTAAATAATTACTTAAATTTTAAGGTTCTTTATTTTTATTAAATGGCATAAACCAGTGGATTTTTAGATGGAGTGAGCTTTATAAGTCTAGAATAGAGATAGTTGGATTAGTTAATTTCAGTACATTTATATAATTTCTTTCTTTAGGTCTTGGACATGTTGGGGCAAAAACCTCTCATTTTCATAATTATTAAGCAGATGATGGTGTATCTTGTTCACCCATAACATTGACATAGAATATCTAGGTATTCGTGGTTATTGTTTTTATTTTATTAATTAGAATTTTTTAATGTTTTACTTTATTTTTTTGAGAGAGGGAAAGGGGCAGAGAGAGAGGGAAACAAAGAATCTAAATAGGCTCCAGGGTCTGGGCTGTCAGCACAGAGCTTGATGTGGGACTTCAACCCAAGATCACCTGAAGTTGGACCCTTAACCAACTGAGCCACCCAGGTGCCCTGTTGTTGTTTTTAAAGCACTAAGGTTGAGGGCTCTGGTGCCCGAAAGATTGGGTTTGATTATTTATCTTTTGTTGATCATACAATCTGAGGCATTTACTTCAGTCCATGCCCCTCAGTTTCTCCAGCTATGAAGTGCAAAATATAATTAGGTTTATCAAGAGAATTAACTGAATTAATGCATATAATTCACTTTAAACAGTGCCTGACACAAAGTAAATATTCAATAAATGTTGGCTATTATTCTTACCAATTATAGTTGGATAGCCAGACTATTAATGTAATATGTTTGCTACCCTGTATTAATTTAACTTCAGTTTATAGGACCAAAAAGTAAATATGGTAATATATTTCATTTTTTTATTAAAATTTTTTAAGTTCATTTGTTTATTTTGAGAGGAAGGGAGGATGGGGGAGAGAGGGAGAGAGAAAGAATTCCAGGAAAAAATCCTCTGCACTGTCAGCACAGAGCCTGACACAGGACTCAAACCCTGAACCATGAGGTCATGACCTGAGCTGAAATCAAAAGTCAGATGCTTAACTGATTGAGCCACCTGGGTGCCCCAGTAATGTATATCTTGAGGCCAGATATACAGAGGATAAAATGTCATTTGGACAGTGAAAGGAACATATATATCTGGGTGAATTACCTATAACATCTTTTTTTCAAATGGATTAATTCTTCTTAAGCACCACACTATCTAAACTAAAATTTGAATATTAAAGTTGAAATAATATTTCTCTCAAAGTGTTCATGGCAGAGTACTATATTTAGAATTAATTAAAAAGAATGTATTTTTTGGTTTTAATTTTTTTCATTTAAATTCTGGTTGGTTAACATTTAGTGCAATATTAGTTTCAGGAGTAGAGTTTAATGATTTGTCCTTTATATATGACACTTAGTGCTCATCACAAGTGCCCTCATTAATGCCCATCACCCATTTATCCCATTCCCTTGACCACTTCCCCTCAGTAACCCTCAGTTTGGTCCCTATAGTCAAGAGTCTCTTTTATGGTTTGCTTCTCTCTCCCCCACCCCGTATTTATCTCTTTAATTTATTAAATTCTACCTATGAATGAAATCATGTGGTATTTGCTTTTCTCTGGCTGACTTACTTCACTTAGCATAACACACTGTAGCTCCATCCACCTCATGGCAAATGGCAGGATTTCATTCTTTTTGATGACTCAGTCATATTCCATTGTATCTGTATACCACATCTTTATCCATTCATTGGCAAATGGACATTTGGGTGGTTTTCATAATTTGGCTATTACTTACAATGCTGCTGTAAACATTGGGGTGCAGGTGCCCCTTTGAACCTGTATTTTTGTATCCTTTGGGTAAATACCTAGTAGTGCAGTAGCTGGGTCGTAAGGTATTTCTATGTTTAACTTTTTGAGGAGTCCTCATGCTGTTTTCCAGAGCACCTAGTATAAGAATGCATTTTTAAACAAGTTATTTAAATGAAGATAGATACACTAAGCAGATCCCTTCCTTTGTCTCATGGTTGCAAAGGTGAAAAAAGAGGCAGGATTAGGTAAAGCTTGTTGAAGTGTAACAGAGGAAGATTTTCAACTTTGTTCATAAAGTTTAGAACTCTCTTTTATTGTTAGACTTTAGAAATCCTGCATCACAGTTCTGAGAGCTCTCTATTGAAGCTTCCCGTTAGCATTCACAAAAACTTTCTGGTCTGGACCACTAATACTTCTGTTAGTAGACTCTGGGTATTCTCCTGCCAGCAAAGTGAAGAGGAAAATTCAGTCGCTGCTTTAAGTATCGTAAATGCAACCCCGCACAATTATAGGACTTTCTTGTCTGAAGACTACCAGCACTCTTTAACAAGCTATTCACCATTCAGATGAACAGTAGAGTCCGACCCTGAAATAGCAGTTAACCACATAAAACTGTAAGAGGGATTAATAGTCCAAGAGGCTGAAATGTAATCAGACAGGTGAAATAGCAATAAGATAAAATATTTGTGTATGAACTAGCCTGAAGAATTAACTTTTAATACTGTTGTAGTAACTGAGTTTAGAATACTTGTGAAAAGATATTAAACTCTTTAAAATATGTCCTTCTGCTTTGCAGGTGTAGAAAATGAGACACATGCAAACAGGGTTGTTATTTTTTCTTTTTTACTTTATTTGAAAACATTTTCTGATATCTTAATAGATGCAATTGTATACAATTTGGTGTCTTTCCCTCTACTGAAGATGCTATAGAAGGGTATTTGTAGTTTTCAATTATAGAAAATGAAGTACAGCTGCCAAATTCTTATTTGTTAAGTTTGTCATCATATAATGTGAAAACAGAGTATAGAATAGAAATGCTCAAAGTGGGGCTAACATTGGGATTTTTCTGCTTTGACCCTGGAAATAAATGAGAAGAAGTATCTGTGGAAAATGAATAGATTTTGCTATATTCTGGTTTGATGATGAAACTGAGCTAATGTGTATTACGGACCATTCATAAAAACATTCCTTAGTTAACTGAATGGATTTGTGATTGCTTTTGTCAAGGGTGTGTGTGTGTGTGTGTGTGTGTGTGTGTGTGTGTGTGTGTGTGTGTATGGGTTTGCTTGTATTTATGTGTGGGTTTTAAATAAATAATTCTAGAAGGGTACATTCACTTAGCCTTCAGGGGCTTGTAATTATTACATTATGCATATTGATTTCTAAATCCAAGTACATTATAAGCTAAGATTCATGTATGAAAGTACTATCTATGGAATATTCATTCAAGACATAGTAATGTTTTCTGTATATTCTGTAATGTTTGTAAGAAATGGAAACCATTTTGGTGTAGAATTATAATTTTGAAGATTCTATTTGCACACATTTTTTACTTTTACTTTCTCCACATTGCCTAGCCTCACCCAACACACTAATGCTTACACCATAGCTAATGTCCTTGTGTTCATTATTATATTTTAACAAAAAAATCATATGAACAGATTATGATTATATTTGTGTTGACATCTTTATTTTAATCTGCTTTTAAAAATTAAAATGACAAATATTTTAGTATATTTTAACTAGTCAAATATAATTAACCTTAAAAACATTAGATATCAAGTAAGTGCGATTCCTCACTTTTCTGGGATCAAGAGATCCTATTAACATGTCTTAGAGAAGAAATGTATGAACAAGAATATAATCTATTATCCTGAATATTAAACATGCATACACTCAAATATATTATTTTTTTTAGTTTAGAGAGAGAAGGTGAGAGAGAGAGCAGGTAAGAGGCAGAGAGAGAGGGAGAGAGAGAACCTTAAGCAGGCTCAGTGCTCAGCACAGAGCCTGATGCAGGACTCAATCCCACAACCCAGAGATCATGACCAGAGCTGAAATCAAGAATCTGGATGCTTAACTGACAGAGCCACCCAGATGCCCCTCAAATAAATTTTAATGGAAACTTTCAATACTGTAGAATTAAGAGCTGTACTCAGAGACTAGCTTCCTCGAAGATCTCAGGATACAAGTTTTTTTTAAGAAACCCGCTTTGTGGAAAGCAGGATTATGAAAGTAAGAGATTATAACAGGAAAACCTTTAAGTAAGAAATTTAATTTTTATTTATCATTTCAATAACACTACTCTTCCCCATGTCTGAAAAATCACCTTAGTACCTTTATATAAAAGATATTCCAAATATTAGGTAGATGGCTACAGTTGGGTAGGAAATTATGGGGAAAATAATAATAAAAAGAACATCAAATATGTTTTCAAATTTTAGAATTATAGAATAAATTCCTTTCATACACATACACAAATATGAGGAGGAAAGATTGCACGAAACTTTCTTTTATAGGACATGTGAGGCTCACAGTGCAAAATAGGGAAGAATATTGACAGAAACAATGCTTGTGGTAACAAATGGAATTGGAAACATCTTCGGCATAGGCAGAAATAAACTTTCAGTATTCCTATCTGATGTCAAAATAACCTGTGTGGCTGATGCTTTCTTAAAAGCATGAGAGGGAGGTGGAGAACTAAAAAAGAACCCTGCTTTAATTAGGAGTACCATCAAGAGAGGCAGCTATTTAAAATGAAATTTGAAGTGCATAATGTTACTTGTTTAAATATGACAATATCATGAGGATGTTTAGGACAGATGACTTGTGCATTTAATGTTCATAGGAAAATCTAAGACTTTCAAAGCAGAAAAATACATCTAATCAATATAGGCTTTGTATAAGGCTTTATTCCCATTTGTTCTCAGTCTTAAGGCAGAGAATCGCCATATTTTTATTTCCTCTGTGAATTGATCTTTGACTCCCTCTGTACCAGTCTGTAAAATTAATGCATTCTTTTTTTCTTGAAATTTCTTTCTTTTACAGAGTGGTGTTTTGCTTTTTCATGCTTTAGCTAAATAAGCCACCTAACCAGTCAAAAAAAAAACAAGGCTCCCAGATTTTTAAACAATTTTTTTCCTTTGCTTTCTCTCACAGGAAGTTGATGGCAATAAAGTTATGTCTTCATTTGCCCCACACAACTCATCTACCTCACCTCAGAAGGCAGAAGAAGGTGGGAGGCAGAGTGGTGAGTCCTTGTCGAGCACGGCCCTGGGAACTCCTGAACGGCGCAAAGGCAGCTTAGCTGACGTTGTTGACACCTTGAAGCAGAGGAAAATGGAAGAGCTCATCAAAAATGAGCCAGAAGGTAAAGGTTTGCAAAGGAAGTAAAGTTGTTGTCATCTCCTGATTTTTTTAAAAATTTTTTTAATGTTTTTTATTTATTTCTGAGAGAGAGAGACAGCATGAATGGGGGAGGGTCAGAGAGAGAGGGAGACACAGAATCTGAAACAGGTTCCAGGCTCTGAGCTAGGTATCAGCACAGAGCCCGACGCGGGGCTCGAACCCACAAACCATGAGATCATGACCTGAGCCAAAGTCAGAAGCTTAACCGACTGAGCCACTAAGGCGCCCCCTGGTTTTAAGAGTTGGATTTTAACTTCTAGTTTTGATTTTTTTGACTTAAAGTTAAATTAGACGAAATGGAAGCCTAATGCTGTGAAGATGGATAGCTATTTTTTTTCCAGAAAAATTTCAATATGTCCCAGTGTTTTAAATCATTAATTTCTGTTGTGATGTCTTACTTTCACACATGGGTAAGTTGTGGTTGAGTAAAACTTAAAGATTCAAGAATAGAATGTGACAGCGGAGCCCAGAATAGGTACCGCCTACAACCCCAAATATCTGCAGGCTGGTTTGTTCATCTCCAGTTTTTGTCCCCAAGGCCATTTCACAACTTTATTAAATTTTATAACCTTTATGCATGAATGCATCTTATGTTACCTTAGTTCAGTCTGTTCCAACATTAATTTGGTTGAGGCCTGTTGTATATTTAAAAATCATTGATTATTCTGTTATCTATGCTGAAGTTCCCATTTTGTTCAGCTTCCAGGATGCCTTTCTTTTAAGATTTCATCTTCTAAATGTCTTTAATAGTTACTGATAGTAGCCAATAGGTGATGTGAACAGGAAGTAAAGTTCAGGCAAACAAACAAGAGATACAATCGATGCCAATTATGGAATTTATGCATAACTGATAGTCACCCTTTATGTTCCAGATGTTTACTAACTCCTACTTAAACCTGTATTCTTTCTAAGCATGGATGCTACATTGCACACGAGAACATGCTTTCTACTTAAGAGTCAGATGGAAATTTAAAACAAACAAAAAATAGTGACATAAAAAGACATATTTTACACCAAAAATATACTGCATTTATACTATGTAACACTGAGTTGGGCTCATTTCTAGTCTGTTGTTAGGACAGTGGCAAATTATGAGTATATATGGCACAAAATGTATGTTAACCAGTATATTTGGGAGTCATATGGTAATTAAATATTTCTGGGTTCCTACCAGATGCATAGCTGGGACATGGATTTTAGTTATAATTTATGTAATTCACATGATCTTACAGTTGGAAAGAGTTTTAGAGATAATCTAGTCAGCCAAAGACTTTTGGCTTTCATCCATGTGGAGATAAAAATGGGGTTTTGAGGAGGGCCTAGACAATTTTTTTAATGTGTTGGAATTTTTCTTGATATTAAAAATACTATCTTCTTATTTAAGAATTGTTTAAAAAACATAAAAATGAAAAGAAAAATGAAAATTGCTTAAATTTGTGGCTTTCTGATATAACAACTCTTATCTTTATGATGCATTTCTTTTTTATCTTTAGTTTTACATATTCTGTTCATTTTGCATGATCAATTTTATGCTTTCAAAGTTGTTTTGTATCTCTTAGGTTGTCATACATTATCATTAACTAACATCCACAGTTTATTCATATTTTATTAGTTTTCACCAAGTGTGCTTTACCTGTTCTAAGATGACATCAAGGATAACATATTACATTTAGCTTTGTCATGTCTCCTTAGGTTCCCTTTGGCTGTGACAGTTTCTCAGACTGTTTTTGTTTTGGATAACCTTGAAAGTTTTGAGGAATACTGTTCAGGTCTAATGTAGAATATGTCTCTATTCAAATTGTCTGGTGGTTTTCTCTTGATTAAACTAGGGTAATAGGTTTGGGGAGGAAGATCACAAGGTAAAGTACCATTTTTGTCACATAATATCAAAGGTGTATGATTTATGAATTTGAGGTTGACCTTGATCACCTAGCTGGCTGATAAAGTGTTTGTCAGGTTTTTCTACCATAAAGTTACCTGCTGGCCCCCTTTCTAAGCCCTACTCTTTGGAAGGGAGATGCTATGTGCAACTCACATTTAAAGAGTAGGGAATTCTGTTCCCCCTCCTTTAGAGTACAGTATCTACAAAATTTATTTGGAATTCTTCTGCATGAGAGATTTATCTCTTCTCCATCATTTGTTAATTCATTCAATCATTTATTTATGTAAGTATGGACAACATGGATATTTTATACTTGGACTTATAATCTAATTCTACTTTATTTTGTTGCTCAACTTGTTTCAGCTTTGGCCATTGGAAGTTCTTTCTGTTGACTTCTGTGTCATGTTGACATATCACTGTGATTGTGGGTAATTTTTTTTTTTTTCTTGAGCACTTCTTTACTTTCTGGCACTGTAGGGTGCTGCAGACTCATGGTGGGTATTACATGCCCTAGTTCTAGAATCAGCCATTTCTCTAAGAAGCCCTGGTTTATTTTACTGGAGAATGGTATTAGAAAGCCAGATCTGGACACAAAGTTTGTTCCTTGCTACTAAGGTGTCCTTTCTTTTAGGGCCCCTTATCTGACAAAACAAAGAAATATATGTGCATACTAACCTTTGTACATATGTATCTATAAATATTTCTATGTCTGTCTATATATTAAGCTAAACATGAGTTCTTACTAATATCTGCAAATATAATCAATTTCCACATGGATCATTCGAGCCTCATTGCTTGTTACTGTTACATTCCTATATCCCAACTGTGATAACCCAGATCCTACTACCCACCATCCGTTTGCCTATTGTCCAATTCCTGTGTATATGTATAACAGTATGAGATTATTAACTGATACTGCCATGGGAAACATCTTTATAAAAAGACTGTAGTACCTCTGTGCAATGTCTTTGCCTTTAGTTTTACAGATTCCATTCATCTCCAAAATTACTTAGGTGATTTTTCCTCTACCTCATTCCGTATGAGGTTTCTGCATACATTTGTAATATGATTAAATTCCTTCTGTGTTTTTTCTAGTATCTCTCAATTTTTTAAATTATCTTGTAGAATCCTCTTACATCAAGATTCAGTCTTTATATTGTACATTTCTGCATGTCTTGACAAACGTATATTATCACTCGTCCACCATTATCGTATCATTCAGAACAGTTTGATAACCGTAAAAATCCCCTGTGCTTCATTTGTTCCTCCCTCCTTCTCTCCCCAGAATTCTAGGCAATCTCTGATCTTTCTACTAATCTCCGTAGTTTTGCCTTTTCTACACTGCCATAAAATTGGAATCATACAGTATGTTTCTTGCAAACTGGTTTCCTTCCCATATCAATGTGCATTTAAGTTTCCTTCATATCTGTTCACAGCTCATTTCTTTTCAGCACTGAATAAAATTCCATTGTATGAATGTACCACAGTTTGTTTATCCATTCACCTATCAAAGGACATCATAGTTGTTTCCAGTTTTTGTTTAAGAATAAAACTTCTGTAAGTATTTATGTGAAGGTTTTTGTGTGGACATAAGTTTTCAGCTCAGCTAGATAAATACCTAGGAATGTGATAGCTGAAATGTATGGTAAGATTATGCTTAGCTTTTCTACGAAACTGCCAACTGTCTTCCAAAGTGGCTGTGAGATTTTACATTCCCAGCAACAATGAATGTAAGTTCTTCTTGCTCCATATCTCCACCAACATTTGATATTGTCAGTTCTTTGGATTTTATCCATTCAGATTGGTTTGTAGTGGCATCTCATTGTTTTCATTTGTAGTTCCCTGATGACATATGATGTGGAGCATCTTTTCATATGTGTATTTGCCATCCATATATCTTCTTTGTATATGTTTATACCCTTAGTTCATTTGTTAATTGAGGGCTTCTTTTTAATTATTGAGTTTAAAGAATTCTTTGTGTACTTTGGATACAAGTCCTATATCGGGTGTGTGTTTTGCAAATATTTTATTCCAGTTTATGGGTTGTGTTTTATTTTCTTTTAACATTTTTTGTAGAACAGTTTTTTTTTTTTTTAATTTCCATAAAGTCCAGCTTACCTCTTAGAAGGATCATACTTTTGATGCTATAGCTAAATGCATGTTGCCTAACCTAATGTTATTTAGATTTTCTCCTCTGTTATTTTCTACAAATTACGTAGGTTTGCATTTTACAACTTAGGTCTGTGATCTGCTTTGAGTTACTTTTTGTAACAGGTTTAAGTTCTCTGTCTAGTTTGTGGTTTTGCATATAGATGTTCAGTTGTTCTAGCTCCATTTGTTGAAAAGACTATCATATCTCCACAGAATGTCCTTTGTCCCTTCACCAAAGTTTAGTTGACTGTATTTGTGTGGGGCTCTTTCTGCCCACTACATTCTGTTCCATTGTTCAATTTGTCTGTTGCTTTGCCAATACCTTTCTGTCTTAATTACTATGACTTGAAAGTTGAGTACTGTCAATCCTCCAACTTTGTTCTTTTATTTGAGTATTGTGTGTGTTATTCTGACTCTTTTGCTTTTCCCTGTAGAGTTTAGAATTAGTCTTGCTATCTACAAAATTACTTCCTGGGAAGTTAGAAAAATTGATATTTTAACAATATTTAGTCTTTGTGTCATGAATATAATTCTCTATTGTTTAAGATTTTCTTTGATTTCTTTTGAGTTTCATAGTTTTCTGCATATAGATCTTTTATATATTTTATTACATTTATGCATGGTATTTTCATTACATTGTATTTTTATTTATCTATTTTTAAATATTTGATTATTTTTGAGAGTCAGAATATGAGCAGGGGAGGGCCAGAGAGAGGGGGGAAGACTTGGAATCTGAAGCAGGCTCCAGACTCCGAGTTGTCATCACAGAGCCCGAGGTAGGGCTGGAACTCACGAATGGGGAGATGATGACCTGAGCTGAAGCTGGGTGATTACCCAGTTGAGCCATCCAGGTGCCACTATATTGTATTTTTAATTTCAAATTCCAGTTATTCATTGCTGGTATAAAGGGAGGCAGTTGGCTTTTGCAT